ACCTAGAATCAGATGGAGATAAATATAGAGAAGTCCAAAGTCATGATAGTGGGCACTAGATCCAAGTTTTCTTCTATTACCAGGATCTACAATTAGAAGAGGTGAAGAGTTATAAATATCTAGGCATTGATTTTTCTAATGATTATAGTTGGGCACTTTGTGTGCAAAAGAGAGTAGAAGGTGGTTACAAAGCTCTATATTCATTGCTAAATCGGTGTAGAAGGGCTCATCTTGTGTCTTGGAGTCTTAGGAAATTTTTATTCAGAAGCTTAGTGTTGCCGGTAGTATTGTATGGAACCCAAGTGTGGGGTCCTTGTTGTAAGAAGACAGGATTGGAGCGTGTGGAGAGGGTGCAGAAGATATTTCTACAAGAAGAATTGGGTGTGAGAAACCAAATCTCATATGCTATTCTTCTTGCGGAAACATGTTGTTTACCTCTAGAGGCTGAAGCTCTGTACTTGACCATCACTTACATCACAAGGGTGGGATCTCTTGATGCTTCTCGCCTTCCTCCTCAGGCTTTGAGTGCCACACGTGCCAAAGGATGGTTAGCGGATGTGATAACTTGGTCTTTGAGGTGGAATGTGACGGAACGCGATTGGGACCTACAACCTATAGCACTACATGAACGTCTAAAGGAGGAGTTTTTGAACATTATTTGGAGCAAGCGTGGCACCAAGATGCAGTTTTATCAACTTCATGTGAATCCTATGCTTGTTTTTTGTGAACAGGATTACCTACTTGCAGGAATCTCTACGTCCTTACGTCATACTATTGCTAGGCATAGAACTGGATCTCATAGGCTTGGAATTGAGGAAGTACATTGGCTTAATATTGATAGGAGTGAACATATTTGTAGGCTATGTGATGGAAGAGAAGTTGAGGATGAAGAGCATGTATTTCTTACTTGTACTAGATATGCAGAGATTAGAGTGACTCATAATATAGATGTAGAGAATTTTTATTCTTTGTTGCAGTTAGTTCCTTTTGATTTAGGTTGTTATATTAGGTACATTATTAGTTTTTGTTCTAGTGCTCTTGGCACTAGCTAGGGTTTGGCCTTTGGGGTCTTTTCCCTTGTTTGTGGCTGTCGTTTGTATTGTGTTTTTCAGCCTTTTGACCCTTTGGCTCCCCCGGGCTTGATCTATTACCATTTACCATTTATAACACACAAAAATTGTAAGTATTGCAAGTAGTACAAAAGTTGAAACCCAAATTTTTCAAAACGATTTCAAGAAGTGAGAGATCACAAGCATAAAAATATATACATGTTAGAATTCAAAATTTTATTTTATGAAATTAAGTATATTAATTTTGAAGATGAGATGATTCATTTATGATATTGTAGACCAAGATAGATTAGTATTAACAACTAGACATTCTTTGGATATAAAACTTTGATACATGTCATAGATATAAGTAACTTAAAACTTTGTCAACATTGTATCATAGTTTAACCATCACAAAAAAGCTTTTGAGATTAAAATTCAATTTTTTAAAAGTTATATTAGAATATATATAATGACATTTAGAAATATTTTTTGAAATATAAACTCTTTGAGAATTAATATTATGTTTTTTAATAAAACTTTTAAATCTATCTAACTTAAAAATGAATAAAACGTGAATAATCCACGTTGAAACTTAGATTAAGCACAAGGTAAAATTTTCACCTTCTATAATTTATCAATTTTTATAAAAAATTACGTATAAAGATGAAAAACATATTTTTATGGAGTTTAGAAGTTATTTCAAAGAGGAGTATATTACTTGTCAATTCATTTTGATTTAACTCAAAGTTATTTTGAAGAGCTTCAATCTAATAGGTTTTAAGTACATGTTGAGTTAAATCTGGTTTACAATATGAATTTTAGGTTAAGATTGTTAATAATGCAATGCATTGAAATAACTTTTTTCTTCATAATACATTTAAATTCTAAACAGTTTTTTGGGATGAGTTTCAAATGGATGACTGATTATAGTTATATAAACATATCATTATCAAGATCTATCGCATATTTCTTCTTATTATGTAGTTAGAGTTAAGTAGATTATGAATGAAAATATTAATTGAAAATATGTTATTTATCATTTTTTGACAGTTTCGTTTATATCTAACATAATAATAATATTTTAATTTCATATATTAGACTTTTTTTCACAATAAATTAACTTTTCATTTCATGTAAAAAAAAATTTTAAATTTTTTTCAGAATATATTGTATTTTAAATAAAATTTTGATATTATTTCATATATAATTAAAAAATTCATTGTAAAAACTACTGATGATTATTTTGCTAAATTTAATAAAAATCAATGAAACTAATGATATTAAACATAAATATATATGACAACATTATATTAATTAATTTGAATCTTCAAAAAAATGTATTATCTCCTACCATATGAGTTTTCATCTTTGATCAATATCACACAAAATGTAATGTGCGTATTTTTTTACAATTAGTCAGGATTGAAGTCTTATTTGCGTTTCCTTGAAAAAATGATATTAGGTTTTTTCAATGATATTTTTTACAAATTGAAGTTCTTTATGTCATAGTTTTCATCCAAACGAAGTAATTGTCTTCTTAAAAATAGATTTATTTTTTCCCATTAACAGATCTGAAAGTTCTAGCTTTTCTTTACTGAATGATCTTAATCTATTTAAAAATATCAAAAAATTTCAAATTTTATGATTCAAAAAAATTTATAGATTTAAGGGAAATTATATCAAAATACTGACACCTTTTAAATATTTTTCAAAAATCCACATACTATTTGAATGATAATCGACATTGAGACTACTAAATGCATTTAGATTTCTTGCAAAGTGTCTTTCACATTTCTATTGATCTTTGAACTTTTGCCTAAGTTTTTAATCTTTTCAGTTGTTCCTCAAAGTAGTTTCAATTGTTCTTTATAACTGTGACTTTATTTCTTGATAAAACACAAATCTCAATCATTATCAATTTTTTTTTCTTAAATGCATGTTTTGAAAAAAATTCAGATAAAAAATGAAGTTTTATAATTTTTTGTTACTTTTCAAAGAACGTTATCATGTCTTGATTGCCAACGAATCCTTTTGAAAAAGTTTAAATGTGTGTATATTCAGGACATCAAAATAAAAAGACAATATTTTTTGCAAGCCAAATTGTTGATGATTTATCAAAATTCTGCTAGTTATGATGTCTATGAAACTCACCAGTACTTTCTTAGATATCTAAAGTCAAAATCGTATGATTGAAAATAAAAACAAATCTTTGGTCCAACAAGTAGCATCAAAGCTTTTTGACCCAGATCTTATAACTAAACATTTTGTCTTTTTTCCACGGGTTATGTTTGTAATCTTGTATCATCTATTGATAACATAAAAAATTTCAAGATCATTATTTTATTGAACTAATTGAATAATGTGTAAGTAATAAAAATAATTGATTCCACAATTCAAAGGAATATATGTTCAATGGTACAAAGGAAATTCTTTTTTTCCATTCTGTAAGAAATAAAATTATCAATAAAATTTTACAAATTTTTTTTAAAAATAAAATAAAATTTCATAAATTTATGTTAAAAATATTATATAAAATTAAAAAAATCAAATGACATCATATTAAATTCAAAATATTCTACTGATTGATAGAATATTTTGAATTACATTTACTAGAATACATAGTTTCATTACTCTAGTTTGAATTAAAACTATATTTCATTTATAAAAATAATTAATTATTATATTCTGAGAATTGTATTTACATTTTTTAATGTATGCATAAACTTAGTTTGATATTTTATTTATTGAAATAAGAGTAAAAATTTCATTTTAAATGATCTCGTTAAATTAATTGATACATAAAAAAATTACTTAGAATTGCAACTCCTTAGTATTGTATGCATTGCGATAGTATGTATATATATTGCGTCTGTCACAAACGAGTTATATCAGTTACATAATATCGCAAATCAATGAAAAACTTCTATCATGCTTTACTGCTGGGATTCCATGGTGAATTTTGATTCAAATGACTCATGAGTGATTCTTCAAGCTCATCATCTTGTACAAAAGACTCCCGTTTAATTAACTCCCATTCTACTTAAATATGCACTATTTTCCCAAAAAATTAGGTATCACATTCATGTAGTTCAACATGTCATGTATTGAATATGTAATATTTTTTCGAAAAATTAGTTATCACATTCAACATGTCATGTGGCGCAAGTTTTGAAGATAAGATTCTTGCTTTTGAAACGATTTAAACAACTTTTCTAAGATAATTAAACTCTTCTCAAACTTCGCAGGAGAGCAACCGAAGCTTTATATCAAAAGCTTGCTTTTAAAGTGACTTGATGCCTTAAGTACAAGAATCTGACTCTCGAGATATAAAAAATTTATCTCTCAAGCTATAATGTCAATATTATTGTCCAGATTTTCTTCAACCATCTTCACAGTCTTTCAGAACTGCAGTTGTAAATATTTCATTGTTTTTATCGTCGACATGAACAAATCCTTAATTTTCTTCTTGCCAAACAGAAAAATTTGAAGTTGTGATAGATTGTGCAACTTGTATCACTGAACGCTTAATTTTGGTTTCCATCAACTTCTAATGTCATTATATTTATCTTCACAAATACATTTTCGATAGAGTTTGATGACATGGACTGTCAAAACTTCTTTGATGTAACTTGGAGTATAGTAGATGAGTTGGACTTCTATATTCACAACCAGTAGCGTCGCGTCTTAATCTCCGTGCTATTTAGAATTTAATTAAGATTTGCTTCCGCCTGTTCCACACCTTTTTTATATCTCTTTCACTAACATCGTACTCCATCGTACTCTAGCGCTAGAGCTTTTTACGAGAGCATACTTTTTCTCTATGGTATCCGATTGCTTGGACTCATTGAGTCGTTTCCATTAGGTTTATTTGACATTGGAGCAATGATTATTCTGAAGTTCTAAGTTAACCGCCTACTGGCTAAATAGGTAGGCACTATCATTCCAGGTTCAAGTGGCGTACTTAATTGGGAGATTATTAGATTCATCATATCGTATGGTCAGACTAAAAGTACTCCGGACTTTCACTCAGCCCTCCCAACGAGAGGTTCGTAGGGTCACAGTCGTCGTGTCTCGGAATATTGATCCCACAGCTACTCAACGAGCGATTGCCAAAGCAAGTCTCCCAAGTGACTTTCAGGAGGAGCGCAAACTTCAAAACCCCGTGAGTTGATAATATAAGCACATCGGTCTCCTCCACTTACCTTCTATCAAAGAGAATAATGTAACGATCAGTGGGTTCTGTATGATATAATTTCATTGGCAGAGACGAGCATCCTTGCTTGCAAATTTGAGAATTTAATCTCATCCTGGAAGAGAAGAAGAATCGACATCATTCACAAGCTTCGATTCGCTCATCCAGATGCTCTTCTAAGAAATTGAACATCCTGTTTAACAGCTTGCGAGGCAGTGGCCACATGGTAAATATTTATCCGCAAGTGAAGATCTCTTCAGTCTACCTTGATGAACGCGGACTCTTCCCAATCATAGCAAAATAAGCATGCTACAATTTCACGAGAGGGAGTGTCGCAGCTGCTGAACGAGGAGGAAGAGAAGCAAGACGACATCAATCAATCATTCAATCGGGTCGCACTCTGTTCCGGAGAAGCTGGATCGGAAACATCGTGCTGCTGCAGCAGGAGGTTGCCAGGCCCGCCAATTTCGGTAACCCCGTCATGTGAGAAGACTTCAAAGTACGCACATTAAATTTCCTGAAGAGGTGAAGATTGATGGAACTCAAGTCAACTCTGTTGGAACTCCGTCACGCAAGAGTTACTCCATTATACCTTTTCCAGAAGAGATAGAAATGTGATGAGCCTCAAACATAACTTGTTGGAACCGTATCATGGATGATACCCTAAAATGTTTAATAAAGAGGTAGATGTTCGATGAGACTCAAACTGAATTTCTTGTAACTCCGACATGAAAGTGACGTCAAATGATTCATTCAATTCAATTTCGGGGGAGCTGAGTTCGATCCTCCATCTGTGCTTGCGCCTTGTGGGGAGAACGCAGAAGGAGTAGTAGCTCCAATTCCACCAGGTGGAGAGTATGACGACGGTGGCGAATATGATCCTCTGTTTGTGACTTCACTTGGAGGCGTGGAGGAGGCCGGAAGACTTGGACCTCCATATCCACGAGATGGAGAGTAGGAAGACGATGGCGGAGATGATACTCCATATGCGCCTTCACTTGGAGGCGAGGAGGAGGAAGGAAGACACGGACCTCCATATCCACCTGGTGGAGAGTAGGAGGACCACGGCGAAGATAGTCCTTCAAATGCTCCTTCACCTGGAGGCGAGAAGGACGAAGGAGGAGGACTTGGAGATGGTGGACTTTCTGACCTGCTGCTAGGACTTGTGTACGAGGGTACAGCCTAAGGAGCTGGGCGTGGTTTCTTGAACCCAGGGAAGGGCCCCTTGTGCTTGTGCTTATGTCGGAGCTCCGGCTCCAGCCATTCCCACAGACTTGTCCAGGTTGCCCCGAGGTATAACCCGATGCAGACGAAGCATGTAACCATCCTCCGAATATACCTGCCAGTGTACAGAAATCACACATACACCGACCATGTTCAGGTATCTTCTGATTGCACAATCTCAATGAAGCCATGTCTTCTTAAAACATGCCAAAACAGAAGCGAAAGTTGCAGTTTATTTGTCACTACTCTGCTTTAGAACACTGATGTGTCGAGCCGACAGAGTATCTACTAGTAGTTAGGACCACTAAGCTCATGCTCTTCGCAATTGTACTCGAGGAAGTACATGAATCTCGCAGAAGGTCAACGACGCATGCGCATCCATCTCCAGCATCTCGACGCATTGGCTCACAACAGCCAGAGTAGCAATTAAAGTAGCTAGTGACAGCCATGATGAGAAGCGCCGATTGCTCGACCCCATTGTTCTCAGTTTGGCTGACGATGCACGAACTGTCGTGCACTGAATGTTGCTGATTTTGACACACAACTTATTTGCAAATAAGTTGTGCGACAATAAAGGTTTGCTGATAAAACTGAGCTTTAGACAACGATAGAACTTGCAAATGTGTCTGAGTTTTAGACAACGATAGAACTAGCAAATGTTTGCTGTATCTTCGAAAAGATACTCATTGATCACCAGCTTGCCTCTTTAGGGCAATCACCCGAGGCTTTAGACCAACGTCTCCTTCTCTCAACCGCAAAATCTATTTGTCCTTAAGAAGAATCGTCAGATATCCTCTTTAAACCGTTTTCATGGAGTCCAGATCTGTCTCAACCGCAAAATCAACTGAATTTGAAATCTCCGATGGCTCCGATCGGGTCGGGTTCGGGTCGGGTTTGACCTTCAACCCGAACCCGACCCGAAAAACCGGGTCGGATTCGGGTCGAACCCGAATCGATACCGGGGGATCTATGATCGTGAGCGGACGGCGAGGGAGAATCGGGAAATTGGAGGTTCGAGTATTTTCTTGACGAGGAGGAGATGCGAGAAATTATCGAGTCAGGACGAGCAGAATAGGTAGCGGAGCGCGGCCAGACTAGCTTCAGATTTTTTGACAAGGGCCAGATTGTCAACGATCTGAACTTTCAGCGGTTCATCGATTCGACTCCATGGACCACTATCTCGTACTCCAACTCGCCGTCATCTGGAGCCCCGAGCCTAGACACTGTGCGAGTGTCTAGGCTCGGGGCTCCAGAGTCAGGTACGTTCTATCGTGGTTCATCGTTCCGAACCGTATCCTGGCCTCCGGCCGAACTCTCCGTTGCGTTTCCTTTCGTCGCTCGAAATTGGTCGAAGTTCACGAAGAGCGCCCGTCGAGATATTGCAACTGATCTCGTCTTACGTGCTCCCGAGGTGTTGTCTGATTCGCGTTGCAGTGGATTGCAGAAGCATTGTAGAGAAAATTTTCAAGACTCTCTGGAGATTGTGCAGTCGCATGAAGGTTGCCAACTACGAGAGAGACAGAGAGAGCGATCGAACCAATCTGGGTGACGCAGCTGCTTGCTTAATCGTTACTCGCACCGAAGGTGCCAATAAGCTCTGTCTTCGAGTTACAGCCGTAGCAGGGTAATGATTCACATTCCACCCTCTGACAATGATCGGATGCAAAAGCGCCCCCAGCCATAGTTCTTTGCCTGTCCGCTGTGCTGGTCATCGCACAACCAGGTATGGCATCCTCACGTGTACCGCGCACTTCGGACTGAGAATGAGAATCGTCGCTCGCTCCAACGCTTAGCTCAAAAATCGTGAATCACCTGATCGCAGCCACTAAGTTCCTGGCTTTTTTTACAAGAAAGTCTATCCCGGATGAAACATCGTCTCGTTCCAACGGCTCCGCCCGCCCAGCTTAATTTTCGGGTTCCGGGTCGGGTACAGCCCTCTACCCGAACCCAGACCCAGACCCGATCCGACCCGAACTCGGGTTTTGGGGTTTTACCCGAACCCGATCGGAGCCTAGAAATTTGTCCTCAAGAAGAATCGTCAGATATCCTCTTTGAACCGTTTTCATGGAGTCCAGATCTGGCCCAAGAAGTAAACGTTGCGGTTTGATAGCTACTAGCCGTAAACAAATATCTCTTTATCGTCCATGGCGAGTTTGAGATGAATTGGTCCAAAATACGGCTGCATTGAAATTAGTAATCGTTGTGAAACAAAGATTACATTTCAAATATTTTGAACTAATGAAAACTTGAAAAGGGTGGTTGTTCTTCCGGAGTGATTTCAGCTGCTTGTATTTCTGGATCCAGAATCGGTAAGCGGACGAGTTCCTTGTGTGAATTCAGCCAGAGTATACATCGGCAGTCACTCCTTGTCCTGCAGACAAATACCAAAGTACCAAAAAGTCAAAGGATAAATACCGCATATTCGAAGTACGCAACTTACGTTTCTCACCGTTCTCGCCCACGCCTTTCCATTCCGTATGACGATGCTCTTGTAATCAATGGCTGCGAAGGTAACTCCTGAAACGAAGTTATAGTGCTATTCGATGATCAATCATCTGACGCTTTTGTAGATAGAATTTTATTTTTATGGTAGGAACAATGCGGGTGCTTGTTGTTTATAAGAAACAGGATACGTCAGGTTTCTGAGCGGCTCAACTTTTCTCAGGTTGTCGTTTTGAAAGGGAAGGTTATAAATGCTACTCCATTTCAAAAGTGCGCTGCCGACTCGAAGAGCAGCCATAAAAACAAGGATGAGTCTCTTGTCGACAAGTATGGATGCAGTTGAAGGAATACGGTTTCAATTAGCATGGCACAGAAGTCATGTATAGTGGTGTCTTGGGAACAAAACTTACGTGTGAAATTTACATCGGCTGTGTGTACTATCAAAGACTTCGTCATATGGTTGGAGACAAGTATCAGGTGCGCGAAGCTTTGCTTAAATCATATGGCCTTTATCTCAAGAACTTCGTGCAATTTGGAATATTACTTCTGGACTTCTTGCGAAACTGAGTCATGTTGTTTAGTTCATCATGGGATCTTACAATGGAGAGATCTATGTTCTGTGTCATGCTTGGTTTTGTCTGTTTCCGTCCCAAATGCATAACCAAATGCCTGTTCACCCCGTAATTTTGTCCTTAGGTGAGATCCAATGGCGCTGTGAATCCTGTGACACGACAGCCTGTTAAAGGGCGAAAGTTTGGTGGTGGTATTCCTTTCGGAGAGATGGAGAGAGATTCGTTACTTGCTCATGGTGCAGCGTACTTGTTGCATGATAGGCTACATACTTACTCAGACTATCATACTGCGGACATCTGTCTTCGATGTGACAGTCTGTTGTCTACTACACCTGCAATTCAGCAAAAGAGCAGTGCAGCTTTTGCTATGGGATTAGGGTCAAGTAAAGAGAGCAAAGTCATCTGTAGAGTGTGCAATTAAAGTCGGGATATTGAGCTTGTGACCATGCCTTACGTTTTCATATATCTTGCCTCAGAGTTGGCAGCCATGAACATCAAATTAACACTTACAATAGGCAATGGCTGATATATGAAAGTAAATCTATTTTTCAGCTTTACATCCTCCCCATTTGTACATTTGACGAATTTGAACGAAATGCACTCTGTCGAGCCGAGCGGATGCTTTGAGTTTACCACGCTCCACGTGCACACCTTCCAGAAATTCTAAGGAGCTTGATACATGTATCACAAGAGACGAACAGTGAAGGTCCGTCCAATTTTTCGGAGAACTTTCGGCGAAACTCAATTCTGGTTGAAAAGTTTGCATTTATGATCAGAATTGAATCAGCAAGAGAAATATTTTTCTTCACAACAGTAAAGACATTCATAAATTCTTGTTAATGGATGTAATTTAATTTCTGCCAAGCGAAGATTAAACTTTTAAAATTAATTCCAGCTGGGACAGAAGAAGTCCAAATGAATCGAAAGATATGGTACTCGAGCCAGTACTTCTTCCTTGAAAGCTTGAAAAAATGTTCAAAGACAAATGTGAGAAGATTCAGATTTCATGGTTAGATCCACATGCTACTTTAGCTAGGAAACTCAAAATTATTCCCGCCGAGCATCTACACCAGAAGTAGCAGCCTTGAAATCTGAAGTCCAAAATTTTGGATGCAGAACACTAATTGAAGAGTTTTCCTCTGGTTACCAGTTCTCCCATTCTCGAACGAGGTAGAAACCAAGAGCCTTGGTCTTGTAGTGAGGACCCTGCTCATTCACAATCCAGTTGGAAAATGGCTCATCATAGCGATGAGGAGTATTTTTGTATATAACCCACCACATGAATTTGTTGTCTCTCCACGCAAAGCTGCAAATCAGCTGCCTGTCTGCAAAGTCAACATCCGGCAGATACATTTGAAAGCTCGTAGATTCCAAACGCTTCAAGAACACTGCTCTGTACTCAAGAGTCGAGCGACCGTATTGATAACATTGCAATACAGCCTCACTGGGTCACTCTCCATTTTGTTTATCACCCGTGTTGAAACCTAACAACTTCCAGCTAAGTACAAGCATGCAAAAGAAACCTACTTCCTAATTATAGTCAAGTTTTAACTACTTCCGGACGTTCTGTGTCCTAATCTACAGGAAGGTGTTTATGTCCGTAGACTCTGAAACCTTCAGAAGCCTTTCAGCACAATGAAGTAGTACCATACATCCTCGTCTTGCTGATCGAAATTAATTGGCTACGTCAATCTTCAATAGATCAGTCTTCAAAAAGTTTCCTGATTTCTTTTAAATGCCACGAAAATGGGAATCACAGTTGAAGCACCATGAAATCCCAACAACAAATTATGCTATAATCTTAGTTCTAGATAAATTGAGAATTGAGATAAAATGTAATGCTGATGGAAAGTCTGATACTTAATCTACTTCAAATATAGAGATGTTGAAGTTATTAAATTTGATGATGGGAACTCAAGATTCACATTAAAATGGATGCACATTTCAAATTCTTATAGATTAAGCTTCTAACAAGAATTTATATCATCTCTGATCAGTAGTAGATGTTTATGAACTTCGAGATAATTATCAAAAAGTGACACTGTGATATTCTTTGTATACCAGTAATACAATTTTGAAGTGTAGATTTTATTTATAGCAGAAATAGAAAATCAAAAGAATATTTGGTTCCAAAGCAAGAATCTAAATAATTCAAGGTTCGTTTTGTTCCTCTTGACTTGCAACATCCACAGCTGTATGCAAACCAAAGAGAATGGAGGATTGGACAAATAATTTGGCTTACACTCCTCGCATGAATCAAAGCCTTGCTTTAATCCATGCAAAATGTTTCATAACCTGAATACAAGTCTTCTTCTTGAACTTGTTACTCTTTCAAAGGGAGGCCGTATCGAAGTCAATTGCTGTAGATATTAAGAAGTTTCTTAGTAATTTGAAGTTTGTGACAGAATTATATATACCAAGTTTAAATGTTTTGATCTGACGTCCTATAAATTGAAATCTTCAGATCTATATGATAAACATCAAGGTGCAATAGAGCAACAGATCAATGCTTGCCAAACGTCAAATAGAAATAAATCATCAACATTAATGATAGAGACCATGTTTTGGAAATTGGATACTGGATACGGGATAAATAGTGTGTTTTGACAAGACCATTATACTCTGCACTTGAACTGCTTTCTCGCTCCACCATGTTCTGATAAGGACAAACCCCAGATTTCTTACATATCCGTGAAGATCCTTGGTAGTACCGGTCCATTAGGAGCCAGTGATGTGAGAAAGCTGAGTAGAATCTCCACAGACTGAATACAATTTAATTTATTTTTCCACAAAATCACGCAATGGACCTCATCATTTCGTATTTTTACTTGCACCACTAACCACGTGACCTGATGCTTAAGGGCAGATGTCCCTGTAGCCAGTATCTACCATCCGTTCAGAGGAGTGCATAAAGTGAAAACTGACTTGGATTGTGTCAATGGGTATCTGATTCAAAATAATTTTTATAATGTGTTTTCAGCTATCATCTGGAGTAGTGGACACTCATGTTCTGCTGGTTAGGACCAACCGGTACTTTGGCCTTGCAAACTCGAAATCAAATATCGTACCGAATCCGACCTTTCAGAAGAATTCGGTTCAAGCAATTTGGTGCATTACGTTTCTGCATATATGTGAACATCAGGTAACTGTAGATATGCATTATTTACCAAGCAAACCACATTTTGTAAAAAATTTTGCCTTCAGAATCTCGGATTGAATTACGGAGGTCATCGTTTATTCAATTTTGAAGTTTGTACAGTTAATTGTCATAAAAACTTCTTATATTTGTCCAGCGGAGTCAACATAATTTTTTACTCTGTAAGGACGGAAGATATTGTTATATATATATACATGAGTTTGCGCTCCCATAGAATTCAATTTCTATTACATACTGCCTCTCAAGCTGATTGTCAAATCATCATGCTATCTCCAACCTTTCCCAAGGATCTTCACGGATATGTAAGAAATCTGGGTCATGTGTTTGCATATAGCTTTTGATGTGGGATGAAGTGAGTTCACCATATGCACTTTGAATACTCTTCTGCTAGAGAATTTGAAACATAACTCCATCTTCGGCTGGAAATAGTTGCTTCTCACCAACATACTTTGTGAGAATTTCGACAATGCGGCTGCCATGTCGCAATAATGAAACTGCACAGAAACTGTTCTTGTGTTGCTAAGCTTCTGTATATCTTCTAGGAGTATTGACCCGCTGACCTTGGGGCGAGAAGATGAATCTAACTCCTTTCCAACACAGCGAAGATGCTTGACAATATTTTCATTATCGACTTTGGCGACTACAGAATGTAACTAGTTAACCATACAAATGAAGACCACAAAAAACTCGACTTCTACAAAATTGCGAATGGATGGAGGGAACCTTTGAGATATGATGCTTTTTAAAGGTTAGGTTGAGTGGTTAATTCCGTAATTCAATCCGAGATTTCAAGGTCTCTTTCACCACGGTGTTCTAACCAACTTAGTTTTAGTTTCATTAAATCTCTGCTTATTCAGAGAATTACATCATACTGTATTTCAAGGTCTGTTCATGTCGGAGTTACCTCAAGTTAAGTTTGAACTTCATCAATGCTCTATCTCTTCAAGCGAATTTTTTCACAGGTTCTGAATGGATAGACCCTCCAAGGTGAAATGGTACATAACACGTAAGAGTTGATTCTACGTAAAGTACTGAGTAAATTGTAGCTATCTCCGCATGAATATCATATGGTCAACAGCTGTTGAGATATCTATACCTTTTTATACTACTGGGACTAATCGTACGATTGAAGGTATAAACCTCTCCAACAACAGCGGCTGATTGATATTTCTATTCTTACTAACTACTACTAATGGGACTATCGATTGAAAAGTTTCATCATCAGTAGTAGGGTTCTTGATATCCGTATTAGTCTTAGATCCGTATTGGTCTTGAAGAAGTCAGTCCATGCTTCGCTCCAAAAGTATCAAATCCATGTGATATCTCGATCTAGCCCTGCCTGCCTTCCTTCCTTCCAATCCGATTCCACAAACGAATCGATCGACAGAAGGATATCGATAAACCGAAACATCCCACGAGCCCATTTTTCTAAATCAATTGTAAACACCAAACGAAGAAGGGATGGTCCGTCACCCGAGATGGCGAACGCAGACGAGAAGCCGGGCCGGTCAATGGAATGGCATCTAGATGAAACTCCCTGGGTCACCAAGGATCAGTATTAGCTCCCGATCTTTCACAACTTCACCAAATTCATTTTATGGCCGCTGATGTGGATACTCGATTTCACGTCAAGTCAAGCATGCTGCTGATGCCATACTCACCTCGGAAAGTTGAACGCACCGAGCCTGCGGTCGTGCCATTCGTCGCTCGTGCCTAAGGCCTGTAATCACAATACAGCGGCTGTCATCGTCGATTCTCGATTGCAACCCGAAGTCGCGACTATGAAGTCTGACATAATGAAGCAAAAATGGAGAAGGCGGTCGGAAGCCTCACCTAGGGAAATAGAATAGGATCCCAGGCTTGCAGGAACTCTGAAGTAGTCTTCCCTCGATAGAAGGTGGGAGCTATCAGAGGCAGAGTTTTAATGAGACTGGCGACGCCCGCGTTCGTGGCTGCGGCTGCCCCGATTGCAGCGCTCTGCATACATCCATCCAAGCATCCAACCAGTCACGGCAAATAAGCTTGAGTTCGAAGCCCGAATGTGGATCTTACCTGAAGGGAGGAGGAAATCACGTCAAGGTGACATTCACGCACCAGAGAGACGCCGACGTAATGCAACCTGTAATGCACTGTGGATCCCTCTCCGTAATTCCCCGCACCTGGTGGCGAGTTCATAGAATCTGAAGTTGTGGGAGGAAAGTAGGAAGGTGGCGGCATGGATCCTCCTCCGTATGGCTCCGTTCCAGCAGGACTCGGGGCTCCATATCCGCCAGCGGCAGGACGACTGTAGAAGGACGTGGGAGATGGACATCCTCCTCCTATTGCACCGGCACTTGGTGGTGAGTTCATAGAACCGGCGGGACTGGATCCTCCAAAACCAGCGGCTGCCGTGGGAAAGTAGGAGGATGGAGCTGAGTTCGATACTCCATATGTGCTTGCGTCTCTCGGGGAGAACGCATAAGGAGTAGGAGCTC